GATTGGCTAATAATCACATGTAGATCTACAAATTGATCTACAAAGCTAGCCAATCAGACGAATTTCTGCCTATGAAATCAAATGCCTCTGGCCCGCAGGGCCAGGACCGGCCCGGCCTGACCCGTGATCTACATGGCCGACCCGGGCAACCCGTGGGCTATGCACAGGGTTTGTAGGTTATCGGATTTGCAATTGGAAAATGTGTACCAGGTTGGTGGTGCAGACAAAATTTTTAAAATTCGTTAAGGTTAGGGTTAGGGTGGTTTATTATGCTGATTTTTGTGTTATGAGCGATTTTTGGCATAACGAACGTTTGTTTTGAATCTTCTTGATTGTGTTACGTTACACCTAATCTTGCAAGCTGATTCGTAGATCAGAAGAACTACGTCACCAACCTGGTACACATTTCCGATTTGAAAATATCACATGATCAAATGGACGGGGTTGGTTAAATGAGTCTGGTAACTCACTCCTTTAGGGTTAGTAACAAGGCCGAGGGAGGACATAGCTTATACCAAAATTTCACAAGGAATTTTTTTTGTTAGAACGCAGAAGGCAGTTTCATATTTTCACATTACACCTGATCATTTTATCTAATTGGCTAGCCGGAAAATTTTTTGTGGGTGAGCTACAGGGGTTGTCAAAATCAGCAGAATTGGTGGTGGTGCTAGGTCTGTGGCGCAGATTTGCAATAACGAAAATTTACTAGAAATTCATTGATGTTAGGGTTAACGTTTATGTTAGAGTTAGCGTTAATATTTGGGTTAGATGCTAGCAGAATATTTAGCATACATGCTCAAGGAAACCTTTTAGTTAGAGCATTAAAGGTTTTTTTTTTTATTCAGGTTAAGTGATTTGTGACAAAACTTACTGAAATCTGAATTTTTTTCTCAGGAAATCTGCGCCACATATATACCCATAATTGATTTGATTGGCTGAGTCCCATGCGACTAAAATCGACCATATCGGAAACTTAAATAAATTGGATATTACTTATGGAGCCAACATGGTGGATCAAATTTTAATCGTTTATGGCAGGTTATCGGTTTTGACAGGATCGGTTTCGGGAGGGCCGACAGTATTAAGTTGTATGATGTTAAAGTAAATGAAAATTAAAAAAAAAAGATATATATATTTTTGTTTAAGCACACTTATATATGAGAACACAATTATTAGCTTTACTGTACACAAAATATTTTTAATCGAGAACAGTAAAAAGGTTTAAACTGTGCGCAGATTTTTAATAGTGTTTTCATAAGGACTCAGAACACAAATCTTGAACAATGATTTGAACTAATGATTTATAGTTTCATTATCAGGTTTTTTTAACCCAGTTTTACAATTTGATAATGATCACCAAAATATAATAAGCTAGTTATAATGCTTTCTGATCAGTGCATGTTTTTGTTTTTTTTGGTGTAGTAAAACATGCAGGAATTTCTTCAGAACTTCGTAATCGCTTTACCCGGCCTGCTTGCTTGAAAATATCCTCGCTTTTCTCTTTCTGTTGTATAATTTTCATTGTTTCTCGAACAACTATCTAATAAAATTAAAAGATCAATTATTATATAATCATTAAATAAAAACATGGAGAATTAAATCGCGCCTCAACGTCCCCAGATAATCTTGGGTTCAAAAAAAAAAACATAGAAAATTAATATAGAAACCTTAATATTCAATATTGCAGCAAGAATAACCAATAATGCTGAAAGATTCTCCTCATTATCTGGGACCTCCATCATGTCCCCACGCCGGATTCTACACACATATCCACGTGGATTGTCCATATACATGGTCATCATCATCAGTCCTATAAGATTTGGATGATAAATATACAATTTGTTATATCTAAAAAATAAGCAAAAAAGTTATATACCAGAATGTATTATTCCTATAGTTTGAAGCCTAGGACATAATTCCTTATCCCAATTAACTTTTCGCATAAGTTTAACAAGCATATCTTTTAGAGCTTTAGGCTGTTTTAGAGACTTTTCTCTTAAAAACTTTGATCCAAATTCATCTTCCCATTCTTTTCCAACTTCACCCATGCCATATTCATCGCGATCACCATTACCACTTATTCTTAATATCCAATCTCCCCGACGTCCCATTTGGCGCCTCTGTGGTGTTATTCTTTTTAAATTTTTTCTGATAGCTGTTGCAACACATGAACTTTCTCCTCTAAACCACGTAAACCAACATGAAGATTATACGAAATACTGTAATACAGTAATTTTTTTAATAAAATTAAATTAAAATTAATCTGTTACCGAACAACTGATAATTCCTTGATGTCTCCAAAACCATGGTCGACGATGGCATTCCAAATATGGCAATTGTACCATGATTCTAAATTTGGTTGTTTTAACCCACCGTTTTCGATTTCTCTGGTTCTATATAAAGAATATATACAATAGAAATTAGTATACAAATTTCTAATGCCTAAAATATGGTTGGCAATTTAGTATACTAGTATAGTTTTATATTAACACTACTAGTGCATAGTAATTACTATATACTAATAGTATAAAACTATGCTAGTAAATCAACTTGCTCAACCTAGGTTTAAAAAAAATAGATAATTGCATTGTATAAAGTACAAAACGGATATAATCTAAATCGTGATATTTTGATGAATCATAGCTTGCATTAAGCCTATCATCTTGCTCACCAATTATAGAGCGCACTTCGTTTGTACTTGTCTATCAGAAAAGTTAATATAAATATTAGCCTGCATTTTTATTGGTACTGCTTATAAAAACTAACACATAACATACTATGTTGATAAACTTGTTTAAATAGTTAATTACATCCTGTGAAAGATCTGGAGCCTTTGGAACAGGTTCATTATCTATCTCTTCTAACTCACGTTCATTGAAATGTTGTTTGATTATTTCATCCTCTGTGTCGATTATAAAGGAATGAATTGCGCTAATATTTACAATAAATTAATATATATTCTTAATTATAAGATAAAATGTTGTTATAACTCACTCTCGTTATAGTGAAGTCTTTGAGAGAATACTATATGCACTTCACTATGTCGAGTTGAGTTTAATAATTCCAGAATTCAAAATTCTTTACTATATTAAACCTTCATTATAACGAGAGTTCACAATAACTAGAGTTATGTCATTAAAAATTACTGCTCGAATTCCAGTTTCTTTCCAATATTATATAACTCTTCTTCCACGAATTTTCCACTTGACAATTTCCACATTGCATCCTTCTTCATCTTCATATAAGCGTTTTCAATCTCTTTTCTGCCTTCATCGCTTATTTTGAACGGCCCTGACTTTTAAATTAGTGAAAAAATTAAGTATCTTCCTAAATAACATGGTATTGATAAAAAAAAAGATAACTTTTGTCATAATATTTTGGCAAATATGATAAATATATAAGTATACTTATCATATTTACTAAAATATCAAGTAATCTTTTTAACAAAAATAGATACTATATATTACCTTTTTTTCCTTTTTATTAGCATTATCTTGGACTTCTTCCTTCTTTTTCTCCTTATTAACATTATTTTGAACCTCCTTATTAACATTATCTTGGACGTCAGAATCACACGTTATATCAAAATTTTCGAGTTCAGATTCAGATTCCTAAAATAGAAATTCAAAAATTTAACCACTGCACTATTTATATAGAAACAAAATAATAAAACTACTACATCTTCTGACTCTTGAAAAAAATTTGGTGTATCGACAATTGATGAAATGGAGGGCATATATTTGAGAGGCGCAGTTCTAATCTGTTGTTTGAAAATTAGAAAACGGACAATACAAATGTGCATTAAATCCGTAATAAGGCTATGCAAAATTAATTGATTGGTTTTCATAACTTGGAAGTTCTATTTAAAAGTTTCATGTTATGAAAACCAAGATTTGTTAGCCTAATTTACCTGATCTTCTGGCGTATGTGGTCGTTCCAAGATGGCTTGTTCCACTTGATCTTTTTCCACCACATTATTTTGAGAAATTTTTTGAGTAACTCCTATGAATTTTTCAGCAATTTGTTGTTGAATTACTACTGCTGCATTTGTATGATTTCGCATCTGTCGGATCTGCAAGATCATTAATTAATATAACTTTAAAATTCATATATAGATACAAAAAGAGAGCAAATTACCGCTGAACATTCAATATCAGCTAATAGCACTTCTTGTTCACTTTGTATAATAGCTGTTTTACTCTTATCCTTTAATATATGGAAATAACCGATCCTATTCTTGCTTCTCTTCCACTCCTTTCCCGTATATTCATTAAAAGTATATAAATAAATGTATTTAGCTCATTCTTAAGACAAGACACAAACAAAGACAAGTTTAATTGCAAAAATCTGCAGCACATCCAAGGGACTATTGGTCATCCGGGTG